GCCGCCCAGCCTCTGCCCCTGGCACCTCGCCAGCCCACCCTGGTTAACACCCCTGGACTCAGCATTAAGGATTCTGCTCCCCTGCCCACCAGGCCGCAGATGCCCACCCCTGCCCCTCTACTGCCAGACTCCAAGCCCACCGGCAGCCCCAAGCCTTTGCAGCCCCTCCCCACACCCATCCTGACCATAGCACCGCACCCTGGAGTCCAGCCCCAGCTGGCCCCCCAGCAGCCACCCCCACCCGCTCTTGGGACCCTGAAGTTGGCACCAACGGAAGAAGTCAAATCCGGCGAACAGAAGAAGAGGCCTGGGGGGTAAGTGAGGTGTGGCCGAGGTGGGGCTGGTGGAATGGAGAGAACTGCCCGCCCCCATGGGCTGTGTGTGCAAGAGGAAGTACCCTCCCAGCCAGCCCTTCAGAGCCATGCCCTCCCTACCTCGCCAACCAAAAAAGCGCCCTCCTGAGTTTCACACATTCTCGCTGTGCCGGGCCCTCGGGCAGGGGAATGAGCATTGCCCTCTGCTCTCCGATTCCGTCCGAGGCCGGAGCTGATGGTATTTGTGGCATTTGGAAGGAGTGTCGCATTCTGGGTCCCCTGGGTGAGGGCTGGGGTCGACTCCCTACCTCTCTGAGTCCGAGGAGCCCTTGTGTCTCAGGCGGGATGGAGGGTTAAGGGGATGTGAATTATGGGCAGACATGCGCCCTCCACGGGGTGAATATGCTGCTTTTAGAGAGAGAGTCCGGAGGAAAAGCCCGTGGCGTTTGGCTTGGGGGTCGGGGCAGGAAGGCCGCCTAATCGGGCCCCCCTCCCTGAGCCTCCTGTCTGTCTGGGTTGCAGGATCGGAACCAGAGAAGTCCACAACAAACTGGAGAAGAACAGGTGTGTGCGCGGGCGATCGGGTTCTGCCCCTGGTCCCAGCTCCCCTCGCCCCCACGCCCCTCGCACGGGCTGACGGGCGCCCCCTCCGCTCCGCAGGAGGGCCCATCTGAAGGAATGCTTTGAGACCCTGAAGCGCAACATCCCCAACGTGGACGACAAGAAGACCTCGAATCTGAGCGTGCTGCGGACGGCGCTGCGGTACATCCAGGTACGGCGCGGGGGAGCC